GGTGGAGCTGGTACTTGGCATTTCTGGGGTCTCCTAAAGTGAGAAGGCTGGCTGTCTTGGCTACTGCAATGTCCACCTACTTGAGACATGTCTAGAGTTTAGACCGTACTCTTCTTCCTGTTCAGGATGTACCCAAATGTTTGAATGAAAGTTAGACCTACAGTATCAGTAAGCTCACAGAAACATTCTAATGAAGAGGAATTGTATTGTAAGCCAGCAGTACTCAAGCTGGATCCTCTCACTGGTGATTTGTAAAAATCAGAAGAGTTAACGTACTGTATCAGAGCAGCTGACCACCTAGTGCTTAGAAAGACACCTGGAAATAGTGTTGGAAACTTCCATATGGGCAAGATGCAACATACTGTATCCACCATAGTTGTGAAAGCAGCAGAATGGCATTTCATAATAGATCCTGAAAAGCACCATCATCTTGTGGGATGAGATTGTTATAATAATCAATATTACTGAGTTGCCTAGCAGTTGCCTCAGTCTCTCATCCATGCAGATGCCAGCTTTGCATTTGTGTGGCAGGATATTCTCCAGGCCAAGTGCTTTCAGAGGGAGTAAAAAACCCTGTGGTTGTGTTATAGAATCTGCTATTAGGTAGATATTCAACTCTGTCAGTTCTGGGTTATGTCTTTACTTGTGAGGCTGTGATACTGTAGCTGTTCAGTACTGTTTTTTATCATAACAATTCACCTTTGTGTAGTCTTCTTATTTATGGAATAGCAGACCATTTAGACTCCTATTTTTTTGGCCGACTCATCTCCAGTGACAATAATTTCCCTAGGCTAATTTTGGTCTGTTCTGTAATGATATTTAAAGGATTAACAGATTCCTTGGCACAAAACATATTCATGGAAGAGACAGGTAGTAACAACATTTCTCAGTAGTTACTTCGTTCCTGAAAAAATAATCAGTGAACCAGAATAGAATGTAGTTGATTGAGTTGACTCAGAATGTTAGGCTTTTTGGAGTATTTACATGTCTTTATTTGAACCACCTATTTTTCTCTCTTAAAACCTGGCCTTTTTTTTTCTTTCTTAGGGTTTTTCCTCTGCCTGTCTGCAAGTTGCAAAATTCTGTGCTATTCTGTAATCCAAAATCTTCTTACTGTGGCTTGATAAATCATCTTGACGTGTATTTGAGCAGCTGACATGTCTTCTCTGAAGTTTGACTGGCTTTTCAAGTTAACCTTTAAATATACTGAAGCTTTTCCGCAGTTTTTCAGACTGCAGCTTCACAAATGAATACAGCACATCTTCCACTACAGGAACGATAAGATGTTTTCAGCTGATCATGTTCTGCTTTTGCATTTCTCTTAGCATTAGTAATCACTTCATAAGTTTCAAAAATAGAATAGTGACGGGACAAGAAATGTCAACCTTATTTGCACCTAGTTCTTCTCTCAGTGTTTATGGCAGCTGGATCAATGTGTGTCCTTGCAGATACTTGTATTTTTTATATCATTCTGAATAACCAAATCTCAGCCCACTTCCTTAAGTTGAGCAAAAGTTTCACTGAAGTCAGTGGGAGTTTTGTTTTGCTTCACTAACTGAGTACTTGAGAAAGGAAGTTACACATCAGAAAAGGAGAGTTTAGTTGAATTGTCTTTGGGCTTGCTGCACAGGCAGGCAATGTGTGGCGCTTTTTTTTCATGTTTGGTCTGTGTCTGCTAGCAGGCATTGCAGCTCTTCCAGCATGCCAAAATGTGTCACCATTCACCCACCAGAAGAGAAAAATGAACAAGAAAAAAACACGGTTAATATGGAAGGCAAAAATTGAACTTGGGATTTTCCCCCTGAAACTCAAGCTGTGGATCACTAGTATGGTGGAATGCTTAAGACCTGCAGAAAACCATGCAAAATGGCTGTGATGTTGAGGAAGCTACTTTGGTTTTAAGGACCTGCTCTTCTGTAGTGCTGAGCATTCACATCTGGAATTTCCATTGGGTTCCAGGTGTACCAAGTTAAATAATTTTTTGAAAATATTAATTATAGAATGCAAAGCACATGTCATTGTCCCTGAAAACACAGTTAATGAGAGTGAAGGCTGAGGATAAAAGTAATAACGCTTTACATGGAAGCTCAAATCATATCTGTAATTAAGAACTGTAACATTACCCCAATGGAGGTGCTCTCAGATGAGAAACCACACACAATGTTTTGAAGTAATGCTGTGTAGGTTAATTATTGGAAGATATTTATGCAGCTTTTAAAATGGTACATTTATACTCTGTGGCAACTAAAAGACCACCACAGGAGCTTGCTGCTCCTCTCAGCTGCATCTGACCGGGACTGATTCCAAGACTGGACTTTGCTGCTGTAGGCAGGAAGAAACATAAATATAATAAGAGAAAGAAAAGCTGAATTCACTTTTCTTCAATTAAGGCTTCACAAGAAAAGTCTATTTTTAATCTTAGCAAATACCCTAGTGTCTCATCTTCCCATAGGTATTTATACATTTTTATTTTAATAACTCCACTTAAGGCCAATGTGAGCTAACTGTATAAATCTCTAGAGAACTCATGAAAAAAGCACTCCCATTCATTTAAATATAAAAATAAACCATTTGGCATGTTTGTGCAGAAAGGAGTCTCATAAATTATTATTACTTTTTTTTGGACTGTCATCGAGTACTCTCCTAGTTAGATTTAAGGCACGCACAGCTTCCAGCTTGAAGTTTTTGTGCTTTGAAGCATTGGTGAATAAAGATTCATTAAACTAGAACAAAAAAAAGCTGCTAATTTGTTGGTTGTCTTCTATTACAAATAGATGATCTAAAAAAGCTGAAAGAATTTGTGTATTTATTGCAGTCCAGCTTGCAATTTGTTACAATGGAAGTAACCCCCATAGAATTTCTAAGCAGTATTTTCCTTCAAGCAAAATCTCCAGGTCACGGCTCTTTCAATTACATGCACAAGAGGCAAGGAGACAAAGCTAGCCTGGGTGGCTTTCTCTTTTAGCAGCAAAGTTTGCATTTCTTTTAATGTAGTTAAAACATTTGACAGCAGAGAGTGCGGTTTAGTGATGTGAGGTGATTTCCAAATGAGTGTTAGCTTTTAACTGACCTACTTTTGACTACTGGTGTATTCTTGTCCATTACTTTTTGTCATTGAATAATGCTGATATATTAAGCTGTGTGCTTCAAGGGCATTGTAAAATTGCATGTAGGGGCAGGACTGAGCTGTGAAAGTGTGAATTACTCTATCAGATCATACCCAATTAAAAAGTGACAAGCACAGTAGGAGATGTTGAAAGCAAGGTTTATCTTTCATGTATTGTAAGAAGTCACTATATCGGTTAGAAACAAAGTGAGTGTGAAACAGATTCTCCACCTCATCTCATTCCTCTCCAAAATTAATAATATTTGCTGACTTTATTATGGGAACGAATAAGCCCCTGAGTTGTAACAGCTCGTGTTCAAGGATATTGTGACAATGGCAAGAGAATGGGAAGTACAGCAGCAATGTACCTCCAAGCTATCTGTTATCAAAGTGTATGCTGAACCACAGGTCAACACATTGCCAATTGTCAGAGAGTTTTGAAAAGCTGCTTGTAGTTTATATAAAACTGTACCATGTCATTAAAAGAAGACTTGCAGGCTTTCTGCACTTCCACAGGAAGCACAGGAATAAAAGAACGATAATGAAAGCAGGAACTTTTAGTGAGCTCTGTACTTATTATAAAACTGCTACAAGATTAGGAAACTTGTATAGTTTCCAGTGCCGTTGTGAAAATCCTTGTATAACCTTTTGCTTTACATTCATCAGCACTTTTCTCATGGTGAGATGGACCTGTGAATGTAGCAATTAATGCAGTTGTCTATATACAACATAATCTTCCATAATCCTGCTGGCTTAAGGTGTTGTGCTGCCAAACCCATTCTGACCGTGGTACCGTGGATAAAATTGTGATGCTTTCATAGAGAATTAGTGTGTGTATATATGTGTGTGTGTGTGTACATATATATATACGTGTGTATATATATATATGAATCTGACAGCCTTTCTCAACTGCATCAACTTTGCAAAATGCTTGCCATCAGAATGTGGGTTGCTTCAGTGATGTGTGACTTCTGTCTGACCAGATGAATACCTTCTGAAGACAATCTATGTCACATATACCCTGATGTTTGCTGCTAATGATATTGTCTGAGTAGTTTTAATGAACTCCTGTGTGTGCATACATGCAACTTCAGAACAGCTGATCTGGTTAACTTTGTGTTAGAACGTATCTTCACTTAAAAGGGATGTGTGCAGTGAGCTAAGAGTTTCAAAATGACCAACCAATTAACAGTCCTACTGGGCTGTTAGGGAAATAAAAAGAAAATGATGTAATGATCCACTGAAAGCTTCCATTTTCTTGGAGGAGGTTTACCTTTTAATACTAAACATGGAATACCGAGGATCATACAAGCAATAGCTTTGTTATTTTTTGTTACATTGAGCAGGAAGTTTGCTGAAGTTTGTTCCATGTGAAGAAGTTGTAGAGTCTCATGTGAAGCAGATACCTAGGTTCTAAGTTGGTTGGTTGGTTTTTAAGTTATTAAAAGCTTCTCTGGAAACTGTCTATGCCGCAGTGTTTCAGTTCTGTCAGAAAAAAACTGATACACTTTTCTTAAGACTTTAAGGGACTCTTGTTCAGGGAATCTCCTGCCTGTATCTGCTGCTGGTAAAGAGGAAGAAGTATCTGTATTGTGTGTTTTTTGTTTTGCTTTGTCTAGAGGGAACTTCTACAGTATGCATCTTGGTTAGTCTCACCATTTTTCTGGTGCAAACATGGTTAATTCAGTGATGCACTACTTAGGAGATTCATTAATTTAGTATGCATACAATAGACTTTCAAGAAAAAGGAGGAATGCAATGTACTGTGAATGTGGAAATGATTAATGGAATTTATGAGTAAGAGATCAGATTATATAAAACAAAATGGAAATAAAAAAAGAAAGAAACACTGAATGGTTATAACATTATCTAACTTCTGAATTATATCTTGCAGCAACCAGCATAAAGGAAAACACTGAAAAGTACATGGAGATGCTGGAAGACAAACTACATAGGTAAGGAAGATATCATGGAAACCTTGAAAGATTAAAAAGAATACTTAATGCAGCACTGACTAGCATAAATATTATAGGGATGCTTTTGAACTTGCGTGAGAATAATAGCAGAATAGTTTGAAGTTGGAAATCCCATAAACATCACTGCTGTGACCTCTGTTCCTGGCCATGTTCAACAACTTTGCTAGCAGCCTGTCAATGAATACAGGTAAAAGAAAGAATTGCTGGGGTTGGATTTTCCAGTGCACAAGACTGCTCTTGAACAGAGCTGGTAGGGCCAGAGACAAGGGAGCACACGTGTTCTTGGTGCGCACCAGTCCAGCTCGGCCTTCGGGTGCTGTAATCTGTGGTGTGAAACGTTGAACATCCAAAAGTTGTGGATCTTTGGGGCTGCTGCAGCTGGTTGGAAAGGCACTACTGTGTTCCTCTGCAAAACCCAACTCTGAGCAGAGCCAAGGAAATCTTTACTTTGGTCCTGGGTGCCCTTAAAAAGTAATGACCATCTATATAACAGTTCTGAATGAATGCTATTTTGAGGGTTTGGAAAGCAATAGAAACCAAAACAACAATGGAGATATTTTGGGAACTGATTCCTAACGCAGAATACATGTATTTCTTCTTGCTGTGTGAAGAAGGCTCTAGATTACTCTCAAGTTTTAGGCTGCTTAATGAAGGATTAGGCAATTGTTAGCAATTGTTACATTGTTGTGATAGAAAAGTGGACTTTTTCTTCCCCACATATTTTTGTTAGAAAAAGCTTTCATAGGCTGTAGTTGGAGTTTTTGACTAACTGAAAATGCAATTCCCAGACTAACTCTACTTCTCTTTCTATTTCTGAGTAGATACAATTAATAATCTAGTTGCATTCATTATTTGTGTTTGTTGTTGCATTGGTGGAGACGGTTCTAAATTTTTTTATTTGCTCACTCATACTGTGAAATAGAGGCACTTATTTGAGTAACTCTCCTGCTTAAAGGTAATTCAGAACAGAGTGAAAAATGATGGAAGCAGACTTCAAAGATCAAACTGTCTGTGTATTGTCTGTCCCCCCTCGCTTTAATACTTCATAACCAATTTCAGAACTGTGTCTGATTTCAGTGTAGCTGAAGAGGCTTCGTATCCATAACTGTAAGACAAGTTTTCCTGTAGATTACTTAAAAAAACATAAACAAACAAACAAAACAACAACAACAAAAAACACTAATATACAAACATAAATACCTTGGTCTTAATTAAAAATTAGAATATAAGGTATAGTAACACATATTGATGCTTCTAAGCTGTAAGGACTTAATTGATATAGTAGGCTTTTAGGCTTTTGTATATAAGGGTTGCCTTCCTTCATACTCTATGAGCTTGGGCCTATTTCAGTCTTGGTTTTCCAGTACAATGAAGCTACAGGTTTCAAAATGTTGAAATGTTGGCACTAAGAGTTGAGTGTCCTTCTCAGCCTTTACTGAGGATGTAAATGCATGAAGTCCAAGTGCTATGTGTGTACCAGTAGGTTTAACATCCATTTCAGAGTTCATTATAAGTTTTTCTGACCCAGTTGGCTACCTGGATGTTCCAGCTATACAGACTGTTGCAGAGGTGCCAAACTGCTGAAATTTCCCTTCCTGCCTATAATAATAATAAATCCAACAGTGTTGACTAAGGGAGAGATTCAGTCATGAACCACTAATAGTTTTTCAGTATGTAAATAAGGTACTAGAGGTCTTAGAGGTCTTTTCCTAACGTGATTCTATGACAAATGTATAAGTGATGTGAGTTAGGATAATGAGACTGTATTCAATGAAAATGTTTCTATGGGTATGTTAAGTGTATCACAACTTTAACTCATCACTTGAGGGATTTAGAAGAGATTTCAGAGATGCTTGCTATGCCTGTTTAATCTAGTTCAGTGAAAGTCAGATGAGCACCTGTACGTAGGATCCTTGCTCCTGCACAGAAATTGTATTTTTTCATCTCACCTCTTTCCACCCCAAGTGAAAACTCTGCTGCAGCCTTTGTGTCATTACCACCATGACTAAAGTCCGGTTCAGTAACTACCCAGTTTGGTCATGAGCAAGCTTAAGTCAAGTGCCTGTTTGTAAATGATTGAGGGTCATAAACTGAGCATAGGAAAGAGTGATCTACAGCCATAAGAACAGAAGATTTGGGTTGGAATTTCATGACTACATGCTCTCTCTTAAATCAGTACTTAAGCACTTAATGAAAGTGGCCAGTTTTTGCAAATTATGCAGAGTACTAATAAAGATTAGTACTTTGACAAAGTACTTTGACAAAAGACAAGAACTTTGAGATCAGTGAAGACTGAGACTGCCAGTCATACTTTTTTTTAGGTCCTTAGATGTTGGAATCCAAGTTTAGACTTAGCTCTGACAGATATTCATCTACTTTTGAAGATATCCACCAAATCACCTCTTTTTTAAATGGGTAAGAAACCTCTAGTTTGTATTTCTACAGGAAAAGTCATAATCTGAATTATTTGCTAGTTTATACAGCGTGGTGAAAGTAAAGTGATGTGACCAGTTGTATTTCTGTCACATTTTACATACACCCTGTATCTCATTAAATCTCTGCCCTCTAGCAAAGTCCATTTTCTTCTGTCATGCAGGGAAGGGGGTGAGAATGCATGTTCATGGCAAGGTTGATCTTTGTGTGATTTATATTTGATAGCTGGAGAAAACCAAACAAACTTGTGGAAGAATGCAGAATTTAAAAAACAGCTATCTTACAGACCATTGCCCTTACAGAAGCTAGTAAAAGTTCCATGACAAATACAGTTATCTTATAAAGTACTGTGTAAAAACAGGAATTCAGTTACATCACCAAAACATACTGCAAAAGCTAAGTCTTATCTTTGGAGATTCTGCTGATGCTTTTGCAGTCATAGAGAAAAATAAGCTGCTTTACTAAATATATACACTCACACATAGGTCGCTCTGAAACTAATGCCTCACATCATGGCAAAAAAATGTAATGGAATGTATTGACAGTAAAGCCTCTACTGCCATACCACCAACATCCACTTTAATGTTGTGGATCTACATCATAAAATAGGAGACATTACTTTAAGAGCATCCCTGTAAGGCTTTTATATCAAAGAAAATTAAGTATTATTAGTACCAGAAAAATCAGATCCGTGAGATATAGTATGAGATAAAAGCTTTATTTTTCAAGACTACATCTGTTATATATTTGTAGAAACACATTTGGAATTAATTATCCTTCATGAAACTTATTAGAAATTGATAACCTGTGAAATTTGCACTCTGGAGTGGATAGAGGAATTGTAGCAGAATTGTAGTGTTCCTTTTTTTGTATGACTCAATTCGCATTTACCTTAAGAATCCCTTTTTTCTCTTTTTTTCCTATGCCAAATATTTCTTGGGTGGCATTGCATGAGAAGTTATGCCTAAACCATATCCTGAACAATTAATGACACGCATGCAATGTGATGAAGGGAAAAATGCATTTGGGTAGGGAAAGTGGCAGAGAAAAATGCATTTTTAAGGGGGATGAGGCAGAGAACAAATGAAACATCAGGAAAAACGAAAGACCTGGGGACCATCATTTATCCCTCTGCAGAATGCAAGAGCCAGGTCTGCCATAGCAAATTGAACCCTGAGGCAGCAGAAACCCCAGAAGGAGCTGGCTTCATCACTAATTAAATCATTAGACTTTTAAACATTTCTTGAGACAGCGATGAATTTCTGCAGTGAGGTTGAGGTCCCTGTGTCCAACTGGAGTTCTTCAGTCTCCTGCACTCAAAAGCTCTGCCTGAAGTCTGACACCATGCTTTGAAAAGTGGTATGAAAAATTTCAGCTTGATCTGTTAGTGTTCTGTGTATCCTGGTGCAGAAAGCCAGCCCTCTGCTTGAGGACAGTTGCCACTCTAAGGCTGCTCTCTGGCTTTGTAATACTTCTCCTCACATGCACAACAGCACAGGCTTTCCTGGGAATGCCAGATGGCCTACGTTCATTTTGTGTAACCCCTGACCTGCCTCAGTTGAACTGAGGGCTGTTCAGCTGGCGGCAGCATCTTAGCAGAGCGTGGATATGGCTGAAATACCATCTTTGCCCTTTCTAAGACTGCATGTTACGTGTATTGCTTCCAAGGGAACCCACAGCTCCATCCATGCTGTATAATCATCAGATCTTATTTTGCTTACCCACGGTTCTGCTGCAGCAGTGTTAAACACAGGTTAGGCAAAATACTGGATACTTCCAGCGACTCATTTAGTTCCTTTCTTCTTCCCAGCTGGTCTAAGTCACACACAGCTGTGAGAACATTAGTTCCGAAATGGTGAGCAACAGACGCTGTATATGCTGTGGTGCATTCCTTTGTATCTCATGGGCCACATGGTGATGGCTTCTAAATCCCTTATCGTAACTGCCTCAGGCTGGAAACAATTTTTTGTACCAGCTGATGTAAAGATGACATTTCTTGAGCTGAGGGAATTTAATGTGATTGTACTCATCTCCAGGCCTCAAAAGATTATTCTGTGACTTCCATTCATCACATAAACGTGGGTTTTTAATTCCCAGATAGAAATCATGAAATTATTTTGGGGGAATAATACTTTTCAGGAATAACTGGTGACAATTACACAAAGGTGTTTTATTGAGCTATTTTATCTTATTCTGCAAGAATAGGGAAATGAATAGATATGCCTGCGAGTAAGATGTAGTACTGCAATGCCTGTGCTTTGCCATTACTGATTGTTAATGATACAGCACCTTGTTACTTTTCAAATGTATGTAAAACCTTTTGTCTTTAATTGATTCTCTTTCGCTATTTGTCTTCCTTTGTTTTCTTTTTGGCAGTGGCTGTTCTCATTTTAATAGTGGCTTTTTTCAGCTCAAGGGTGCACAGCCTGGGAAATGCAGTGAAGTCCTGCTCCACTGTAAGATTTGCTCATTTGCACTTGTTCAGTGAGGGGGGAAGGGGATTGTGTGTGTTTAGCACAACTTGCATTCCTGTAATGGAAATTTGT